AAAAAAAAAAAAAAAAAAAAAAAAAAAAAAAAAAATGGAGTGAGAACATCCATCAACAGTTGTTGGGCCGGGCATGGTGGCTCATACCTGTAATCCCAGCACTTTGGGAGGCTGAGGCAGGTGGATCCCTTGGGTCCAAGGGTTTGAGACTCCCTATGGGCAACATAGCGAGACCCTGTCTCTACTAAAAATTTTAACATTAGCCAACCATGGTGGCACATGCCTGTCATTTCAGCTATTCAGGAGGCTGAGGTGGGAGGATGGTTTGAACTCAGGACATCAAGGCTACAGTGAGCTCTGATGGTGCCACTGAACTCCTATCTGAGTGACAGAGCGAGACCCTGTCTAAAAAATAATAAAAGAGGTGTCAAGAAGCTAGGCACAGTGATGTGTGCCTGTAGTCTCAGCTACTCAGGAGGCTGAGGCAAGAGAATCTCTTGAGCCCAGGAGTTCAAGGCTGTAGTGCGCAGTGATCACACCTATGAATAACCACTGCACTCTAGCCTGGGCAACAAACAAGACCCTATCTCTTTAAAAAAAAAAAAAAAAGAAAAGAAAAAAAGCTGGGGGAGGGGTTGGCATGGTGGTTCATGCCTGTAATCCCAACACTTTGGGAGGCTGAGGTGGGTGGATTTCTTGAGACCAGGAGTTCAAGATAAAGAAAAAAAATTGTTAATGAAAATTTTTAAAAGTTGTCAAGAGAGGCCGGGCGTGGTGGCTCAAGCCTGTAATCCCAGCACTTTGGGAGGCCGAGCTGGGTGGATCACGAGGTCAAGAGATCGAGACCATCCTGGTCAACATGGTGAAACCTCGTCTCTACTAAAAATACAAAAAATTAGCTGGGCATGGTAGTGCGTGCCTGTAATCCCAGCTACTCAGGAGGCTGAGGCAGGAGAATTGCCTGAACCCAGGAGGCGGAGGTTGCGGTGAGCCGAGATGGCGCCATTGCACTCCAGCCTGGGTAACGTGAGTGAAACTCCATCTCAAAAAAGAAAAAAAAAAAAAAAAAAAAAAAGTTTTCAAAAAAAAAGAAAAAAGGAAAAATTCAAAAGGATGGAGTCCAAGCATAATGGCTTAAATCTGTAGTCCCAGCACTTTGGGAGTCCGATGTGGAAGGATTGCCTGAGTCCAGGAATTCAAGACCATCCTGGGCAATATCATGAGACCTTCCCCTTGTCTCCAAAAAAAAAAAATTAGCCAGGCATGGTAGCACATGCCTGAGGACCCATCTACACAGGAGGCAGAGTTAGGAGGATCACTTGAACCCAGGAGGCTGAAGCTGCAATGAGCTGTAATCCCATCACTGCAT